TGGGTACCTGGAACTATTTGATTTCTATTGCTGCTCAAACAAAATCAATCATATTCCTGACCTCTATTGTGACTATTTCATTGTGCCACAAAGAAAATTTGATGAATTAACACGTAGACTCTATTTTGTACCGGAGAACCATGTTGTGAGGGAAGAGAGGAGAGAAAAGGAGAGGAGAAAGGGGGCAGATTAAAGAAAATTTACTTTTTTCAGACTAACAGTACTCATATCCATTACTTTTACTTCAAATAAATCCTCTCAAAGTAGGTTAACCCTACAAAAAGTTCTAACGTAAACATGGCATAAATATATTAATCTGGACGTCTTCTGCATACAAACTTCTCGCATTTTCTATCGCCCTTTTTAATGTAAAGAAAATCTTCTGCGATTTTATTTTTGAGTTGTTCTATATATGTATACATCTCTCTGTCTCTCTCTCTCTCTCTCTCTTTGATATCTTTCTCCCATATTTTGTTTGTTTACATTAATCTACATGGGGATTTAATGTGTGGCTAGGCCACTATACAAAAGCACATGAACAGTTGTGCGATTATGAAAACAGTGCGCACGTAACGTATCGTAACGTAGAGTATGAATTTGATATATTTACTTTGATATCATGGAGAAAAATAATAAAAGGGTAATTTTCGTTAAATACTTGAATGAAAATGATGAAAATAGAAGAATTTTAAGTAGGAAAAATGTGAAATGAAAACTTTTTTAAAAAAGAGAAATGCCAAATGAAGAATTTTTATAAAGAAAAATGTTTTCATTTCATGTTTTCATAGAACATGGTTATTTATCATCCTGACATTTTTTGTACTTTCTTAATGGAAAGTTTTATATTTTTTAAATTTTGGTTAAAAAAAAAAACAGAACCCAAGGTGTAGGGTGTGCCATTCATTCTGGGTTCTCTCATAGATATTCCAAATGTGTCATACCAACATTTGTGACATACTTCTTTTTCGTTGGCCTCTTGTTGATTGTTATCTCATATCCAATTCCGCTTGAAAATAAACTTCCGCTTTTGGTAAGGCCATTGTCGTCGTCGTCGTCGTCTCGTTACATAACAACAAAGCAAGAAAAGACATTTATTCAAAACAAAAAACAATTTTTATATGGAAAAGCACAAGACATATTCATTTAATAATTGTTGCTGCCTTGCGTTTTTTTTTTTTTTTTTGCCGTCATAAATAGGTATTGAATTTAAAATATTTTTTTTTTTTGTAGCTTTGCCATGGAAACGTGACAAAATTTTGAAAATTAACCAAACAATTTGCCGCCATTGTGCCATATTTAATATTAAAATTAAAAAAGTATTAGCCAAGACGAAGTACAACAACAACAACAACGGCAAACAGAAATTCCATTGACCAAAACGGAAGTTGTTATGAGGGGGAATTTTGTTTCGTTGGCCGGGAAATGGGAAATACACATGATAATGTTGGAATGTTGTTGGATTTTCCGTGTGGGCGTTGAATTTGACCCAATAAGGAAATAGTCATAAAAAATTCTTATAAATGTCTGAATGCTTGGCATTTCAAAAACAAAGAGTGATCAGTATACCGTTAGCCATAATGGCCCAGTGGGATTGGTAATAAATCAAAATTTGAGAAAAAAAATCGACAGCAATTAAAATGAAGATAGCGTATCCCAACAATATTTCCAAATTGTTGTTGGCTTATGGTGTGGGATGGTAAAAAAAAAACAAAAAAAAAGATCTTCGAAAATCATTAATAATGCCATGCTACCCCGGTTGATTTCTTGAGCGTGTTTACGCCATACATATACACATGTACATATCTGGATGAATTTTTTGAAGCCAAATAATTCTTTTTTATTTTGTTTTTAAACCAAGATTTTTATGTTCCCTAAGACAAAAAATAAATCGCAACAGATGTTCTCTTTTATTGACCAAGAAAAAAGATCGACCACTGGCTTATCATGGCCAACAAAAAAAAAGAACACAAAAATATTCACACACTCTGAAAACATATTCGACCCAATGCACATTGTCCATCTGTCTGGTTTCGGCATGACTTTCTTGAAAATATTCAAAAGGTGCAGCAGTCAAAGACTAGCAAATCTTTGCTTTGCCTTTGGCACCAGGACTGGCGTGCAAAAATAACTACAATTTTTTTCAACTTCTGCAGATTGCGTGTGCGTATCCATCCATCCATGCAAGCATCCGTCCAACACAGTGCCTACCAAAAAGGTTTTTTTTTTGTTCTTTTAAGAAACAATCTTCTTTGGCCAGTCTGACAGGAAACGAAGAAGGAGTAGAAGAACGACAACGACAAGAACAAAAAAGATAAACAGTTTAGGAATCATTACACACATACACGCCAACATATAACCATGGCCACAACGCTTTGGTTGCTTCTCCTTCATCTCCACGAAAACACAGGAGAAATATGTGAAATATTCAGATGCGTTTTATTGCCCTTGCTGTGGCAGGAAGAGGAGCGCATCCCACATCTCACGACCGACCAGCATCCAAAAATAACATCTTTGGGTTGTTGTTACTTCTTTTTCCAACGTTCCCCATAAAGGAAGTGACTGAGCCGTGTAGGTTTCCTTCAGCAAAAATGCCAATACAAGTTATGCAAAGCATTTGCCTGTTTGGAGCAACGAAAGGGATGTTGCCGCATTTTTTGTTTTGAGAGCTTGACTTTTTGAATTTTATCAATGAAATTCATGGAAACTGGTTGTCAACTGGCTTGCTTGCTTGCAAAGGTAGAAAGATTGCAAAGGATGTACGGTAGGGTTGTCGTTCTATTAAAAAAAAAGACTATAACAAGAAGTAATCTTCTTCAAGGAGGAGGACAATTATTCATATTTAAAATTATTAAAATTTCCGTGAAAATACTGTAACGTTGTTTTTGCCGTTACCGACTAAAATCGCTAAATTTAAAACGCAAACATTTCCTATAAAATCAAACATTGACAACATTTGTTGTGTTTCCGTGTTTTCTGGTCAAAGCAGTCAAAGGAGAGGATTGTTGTATTCGCTCTGAGAGAACTGCTTTGACAAAGGGAGCACGCAACGGAAACTAATAAATATATCAAAATTGGATTTCAAAGTTTTAAAGAGATCATATCAGAAAAAAGAAACAAGCATAGTTTCTGCTACGGACAAATAATTTGGATCCAAGTATAACCAGTTTTTCAGCTATGGAAAAGGTTTTCATATAAAAAAAATTTTAAACATACATCATAATTAATAATAGAGCAGGTCCTCAAACACAGGAAACAGAGAAAGGGTCATATTTAAAATTTGTGTCTAAAAATCGCCAAAATCAATAAAATATTATGTAGAAACAGGCATTGAACTCATTGTTTTTATTGGTAAACCGTGACAGACCTCGAAACATTTCATGAGTATTTTTAGAAAAATTAAGTCAGCAAAACGGTTTAGTTTTACCGCAAACTTACTAAAAACTCGCTGAAAGTAAAACGCAAAAACGTCATAAAAACAAACATTGACAACATTGTTCCTGTCGGCAAAGCTGAGAATATAAAAAAGGCTTTTTTGACTGGCTTAAGTCATTGGCTGGCTTCTTCGGAAAAGAACGAAGGAGCGTAGGGCCAAAATCGAACTAAGTCAACCTAAAACTCCTTTGTTCCTCTACGAAGAAGCCAGGCGATGGCTTAAGCCAGTCAAATAAGCGTTTAATATATTCTCACTTTATGTTTTATGACAGGCTGAGGCTTAAATTTTCCTTGAAATCCTTGAATCGTATGAAACACTTCTGAGTCTAACCTAAGATAAAGCCTTGCCGATAATTTTATGAAGAAAGTTCGAGTTTCGAGGGTGAAAAAATTTTGCATCTGAAATTTTTGGGATTATGAGAGAGAGACTGGTGCCGAAGTAGCTCTCTAATCTGCCTTCTTAACCATCAACTAGGACTGGACAGAGTGCCGAACTTTTATGCACTCCAATGTCCAGAATTTATGGCGATAATGATTTTCTGAAAATTTGTTTATTTATTGTCATTAAACAAGGCCTATTATTTTCCCCTCCCCCTCCCTCCAAAAAGAAAAACATTTAAATAAATAATTTAATATGTTTACATAAATATTCTTTCCACTCATTTTATGCTCACGATGTTTTTGCGGCCATATAACAATACAATACTACAACAACAAACGACCACAACAATGACGAAGAGACCACCATACACACAAACCACAGCAACAACAACAACCACAAATACAATAGCTCCTTGAATGTAGCATTAACTTGGCGTAATAGTAACAAACAAAACGTAAAGCGTATCACAGTAGCAAAACAAGTTTTCTTCTTCTTCCATTCCTCCTTCTTGTCCCTCTGAAGTGTACGCCGATGTTATATGCTGGAATACATTTTAATTTGTTGTAGTTGCTGTTGTTGGTGTTGGTTTTGTGTTTCTTTTCTGTACATTCTGCATGGGCTCGCTCCCTTCATGCATTATATTCCCCACATGGAGGTGAGTGTGGTGTCTGTGTGTGTGTGTATTGGGGCTCCCCTAATTCACAGATTAGCTGAACTTTTCATTTGTGGAGACTTTTGTTTGCGTTTGCGTTTGTTTGTTTGTTTTGTTTTCCGTTTCTTTCTAAAACAAAACTACAACGCGAATCCAAAAGGAAAAACGAAAGACTTAGGCAACAAACCCGTTTTGGCTATCGTACATCACCCAGCCAGCCAACACACAAACCCTCTTATGCGCACTCCCAACTTCCAATCATGAATGAGCAACAATGTAACAGATCAGCTCAATGAATGAGAGGAGTGTACACAAGAGAGAGAGGGGCCGCGAAAGAGAATGCCAAAGTCACGTTTGTCATTAGTTAAAGTTCTTGTGTGGAACTGAAATTCGTGGTCGCCAACGTTTTTGCCGCAATTATTTTGTGATTCATGGAAACACCCACATGTTTTTGTATTTTGTTGTCTTTAATTCCCCAATTCGAAGAGCAATTTAATAACATTCATATTTTCTTTTTCTCCTCCTTTCTTACAGAGGCTAGATTGACATCTAAGGAATTGCCCACCACAGCATGGCGTCGCGAAAGGCGTTTACGCACCGGAGAATATCATCATCCACCTCAACAGCAACAGCAGCAGCAACATCCGAATCACCATCACCACCACCATCATCATCTTGCATCACCAGCCGGTTCATCGGCAAGCAGTGCAAGAGGCATATCACCATGTTCCTCGCCGACTCCCGTGGTCTATGGACAGAATTCGCCCAACAGTACAGTGACATCATCCGCAACACAACTACACTCAAATGCCCATCAAATCTCCATGATGATGGCTGCTGCCGCTGCCGCAGGCATGCGTCCCCTCTGCGAAACCACAGGTAGACCATCACCACCGCCACCACCTCCAGTTGCTAGCCACAGCAACATGCACATGGCACGTCCAGAGCCCCTAAATGAAGCTGAGATCGAAGATGCCCCATTGGATATGTCCGTATCAAGCAGTTTGAAACAAAGGAATTCTCCACCACCACCTTATCGTGAACCCTTGCCGGGCTCTCAATTCATTTCAACACTGCCGCGTCCAAGTGTCATAACTCAGGCACCGCCCAAAAGGGACACAAGAGACAGTGCCCTCTTGGCTAATCGTGAAAATGACAATCGCAGCTCTGGTAAGTTTTCCCTTTCCCTTTGCAAACCATTTGAAATTGTAAAAATATTTCCATCTCCTTTCCAGAATCCATTGATGAACATTTTCGTCGTTCTCTGGGCAATGATTATTTCGCCCTGTTTAACAAGAAATCCCCGTCAGGCCAAACAACAAAAACACCATCACCGCAGCCTAGCCAGCAACCCCCAGCGGCCCATGCCAGAACACCACCACCACCGGTAACATCTTCAACAAATTCTGCCCTACAACATTCGCACACGGGCGGCCCATCTGCAGTAGTTGCTCCACCCCCTGCTTACCCCAATGTCTTGACTCCGGCCCATCAACAACAAAGCAACTCGGTTTTACTATCGCCAGCTGCGATTATGGCCGCCCATATGAAGGCGGGAGGGCCAACAGCCGATCATATGGGTGGTACCAATTCACCACCCCTGCCTTTGGTAGTACGAGCTCCGCTGCCACAGCAACCCCTGGCACTGCAAAGAGCCACGTCTGTGACATCTCAAACACCCTTACCATCACCACAATCGCCAACCATAAAAGTTGGTTCCACACAATCTCCCATGTCTAGTACGGCCGGATCCCGAACAGCTTCACCGTTACCATTACCCATCAATCAAACGTCTTCCCAGCAGTCTTCCGCCATAACATTGTCACGTTTCACATCTGTGGAAAATTCGCCATCATCATCGCCCGGTCAAACGGCCCAAGTGGTGACCAATGTTGCTCCGCCAAATGCCTCACCCACACTACCGGCAATAATGCGCATAAAAACCGAACCAGGATTGCAAAGCATAAAGGCCAACAATCCCACACCACCAGCTTCCCCCACCAGTACCACCAACCCCAATATTTTAATTGTAAACAACAACAACAACAGCCACAATACGGTATCATCGTCGTCGTCTCCCTCATCTCCATCACCATCGACTGCCTCAAGTGCTACCATAAAAAGCAACTCAACTACCACCACCGGCGGCCACAGCAGCAGTGCTGAGGTCCTCGCCTCGGTCGATGATCATTTCGCCAAGGCTCTGGGTGACACCTGGAAGCGATTGCAAGAAAGCAAAGAAATGCGTAAATAATAATAACAACAGCAACAGCAACAACAACACAGACGTCATGCTCACCACTGAACACTAATTACTTTAGGCATTTGGAGTGATATTTTTTAAGAAGTGATATTTGGAAAATTTTTAAAATCTACCACCAACAACGCGACCCCCTCAACTGGCAATGAAAAGCAAATTAGGCAAAGAAAAAACTTCAAGTTTTTTTCGGTTTTGCATTCTTATTAATTAACTACATAGTTGACTATCTAATGTTTATACCTACCTACCTACCTACCTACTTACCAACAACTTATATATACAACAAAATTATCTAAAATGGTAACAATTGTACTAAAAGTATGATAAAGAAAAACAAAGCAAACAAAATTCATTCATTATTTAAAATTATATAAAAAAAAGATCTCAAATTTATGATTCGTTTTGATTTGATAGTTTAATGTGTTATCTTTTACTTTATTTTATTTTTTTTTAATTTCAATGTATACTAATTATTTAATTTTAATTTAACGTCTAATACCAGCAAATTTCTTAATGTAGTATTCCCCTTTTTATTGCAAAAGTAAAAAAACAAAAACAAAAACATACAAAATTAAAGAGTATTACCATGATATCGTTCATCTCTTAAGAATTATGTGTGCGTACAGATGTAACTCTCTTCGATTTCTCTTGTTAAAATGTTCACTTTGCCTCTTTTCACGGAAAGTATATTGTGTGGTTTTTTTTTTCAACAGAATACGGGATTACGTCTTTTACACACCCTGTCCCCTGCTCTCTTCCCCAACACCCCTTGTTAACATAATACTAATTTTATTATTAGAGAATATGGATATACATATGTATTTGGTTTTTAAGTTTTTAACTCATGATCTTAATACATTTATCGCAGAAAAATAATAATTTTTTCCTATAATTTGTTTCGTATTAAGTATTTGTGTAATTTATAAGTTTTATGCTGAATTCCTATTATTTGCTTAACAACAAAAAAAAAAAAACATGCAAGAAATACACTTGTTTACTATAAGAATTTCATTTTCTTTGTAATAAAAAAAGAAATAAAAACACAATCAGACGAAAATAAAGGATAAAATATTTTTATATTATGCGAATTTGTTTTATTTTAGTTAATATTTGGTGGGGTATTTCAAGATACGACATACAACAGAAGTTTATCTCAGAGCTATTGGAAATGAGCATAAGGTTGCTTCGGGTTGTTCAATCTGCTATGATTAGCGCCATCTCTTAACATTTGTAGTTTCATATAGTTGTCTTGTTTTTACTTAATGTCTCACCATAGACAAATTAAGGTATAGACTAAAAAGTTTTAAACTTTACCCCTTCCGGCAGATGTCACTATTGTTGATCTTGGGCCAGTCAAGTCACTCAGGGCTAGTGAAGTCACTCGACTTCGAAAACCATTTATTCGTTTTTTCTGCTATTTAAGTTCTATATTTTTATATTTCACGTCATATTTGGATAATGTAAAAATAAACAAAGTCACTGTTTCGTTTTTAATTGATAAATAATAAAGAATCAGAAAAATATTCAATATTTTGTATTTTGAGAGAATTGAGTGAATAGACTTTTGCTCTCTCACAGCATGAACGACATCTATTGAAGCACTTTTTTCGAAGATAAAAGATGAGACAACTTTTTAGTCTATACCTTAATTCGTCTAGATAGATGTTTTTTTAAATACCACTAAATTTAGTGGTAGTGCTATTGAAATTTCACTACCACTAAAATTTAGTGGTAGTGCAATTTTTTCTTAAATATCACTAAAGGGTTAGTGGTAGTGCAATTTATTTTTCACTACCACTAACCCTTTAGTGCTAGTGAAATAAAAAATTGCACTACCACTAAATGAACAGTGATAGTGAAATTATTAGTGCACTAAAAATACAGTGCATTATGCCCATCTCTGGTACTTAATGTCTCACTTCTTTCTCTCAATCACAACGGAATGATATCCCATGATCACTGAAAGATGATAACACACTTTGCAAAGTACACCATAGCCCTTAACGGCGTCAACCGGCTGTCGGCGGTTAAGAAACGACTCGGCTTCATAATCTGGTCGGTCGCTTTGTAAGTGAGTGAAATTCGCAAAAAAATAAAAAAAATACGAAATTTTCAACAAAAGTGTCGTTTAGCGGTGGAATATAATGAATAAATCATTCAAATAAAGTCGAGTAATTGTTAAGTAATAACGAAAATGGTTAAAATTTCATAGATTGAAAACGGCAGTTTTTGCATTTTATTCTGCTGTCAAAAAAGATTTGACAGAAAAAAAATTAAACTACAAGGATGAAAGAAGTGAAAAATAAAACATAAATCAAGACAAAAGGTGAAACACACAATAAATGTCGATAGTGCAAAACAAACATGCTGTCTGCATGAAGGCATAAAAAGATATTAAGAAGTCATAGTAAGTGTTGTGCTAAATGTTAAAATAAAAACAAATAATTGTTTAAACAAATTGTAATTGTATTGCAATGGCAAAAAGAAGAGAGGAAGAGAAACAAAAAAGAAGAGTGTGTGAACAACATGCAATGTGAAAGACGGTGGAAATGTCAAAAGAAAAAGTAAACGAGTAAACGCTTCGCGGTGTTACCAACCCACCGTTGTGAAGTGTCAAAAGTAGCAGTGTGTTTTCATTAATCAATGCAATAAAATACACAAATTAAATAAAAGAATGAATTTTCTTTAACAAAGTGTTTACCTGTGTCGTTAAAATCATCAATACAAGCATTTATTTGGTTCCTAAAAAATTGTTTACCTTAGTTGTTTTGTCTTTCATCCGGTATGGCAACACCTAACAGCTGTGGTATGTCAAAAATGATTTAAACAAAATGAGAGGTCCAAAAGGGAGAGCGATAGTAGTGAGAACGTAAGAATATGGAAATGAAAATCGCAAAAATAGTGTGGTCAACTCTAGAAAAGGAAAAACGTGTAATACTTTTCGGCACGATTTACTTTATTATTGGTTTCATAGTGGTTTAGTTTTGTGGCAAGTATAATTTTCAAAACTGGATTGCATGAATATTTGTGTACTTCGAATATGATTTAAGCAACGAATTGTCGTTATAAATTTGAGAATCCAAGGAAATCTTAGTATGCAGAAACTTATTGTAATATATATTTCTACATATCTTGTTGGATCATAATTAATCTCCAAAAATGTGTACATTTCCTTAATAAAAATATTTTCGATAAATTGTTACAGAAAAATCTTTTTTCGAAGCATGACGCACCAATAAGCCAATCTGTTCCATGCTTAGGGTCACGCAACGATATGAGATTTAATTTGTGGGAGTCTACATTTAGATTTGAATTTTCAAAGGACCTTTGTATTTTTCTCATAGTTTTTAACAGTAAATGTTACGATGCCATTGTGAAACCCTTATGGTCCATAGTTGTTTAGATATGCTACTTAGTACTTGCCTAGGAGGAATGCAATGAGTTCACGGAACTATGAAAGTCGGTATCTCAGGCATTGTGCAAAAAATGTACACCTTTATGAGTGAATTTGGTGATATTTCCCAACTGGCTGTCCTTAACTATAGATACACCAAGTTATAAATGTATAGGTTCTCAATAGGCATGAAGATCATAATTTCTAAACAACCTAATTTAAATTTATCACTTTAGCTCTTTTAATACCGACTCAAAAATTAGTAAGTCCTCTATGATACCCTTCTATAAATATTCCCCTCTTCACCTTCTCTCTGCATGCAGATCATATTAACCCACCAATTTGACGTTTAAGCGCCCGAAAAGTCGGCATAAACGGAACACTGTCCAGCAGACACATTGGCATCACTGCAGAAAATCGTGTCAAAAAGCAAACAATTCAATTGCAAAACATCATATTTTTTTCTTCTCCCTTTGAAAATCTAAAAAGAAAAACATAAAATTTAATTTAGAAAATGTTCGACGGACTATTTGCAATTTTTAAAACTTAAAAGAAAATAATGTTGGCGTTGAAGTCGCAGTTACATAAAGTGTTTCGCGTATTTAATAATGTAAGATGTACAACGAAATGAAAATGTGCGAAAAGTGCGTAAAAATGATGGCTATTTGAGTTGAGTTGATGAAAGAAGGACGTAAGAAGAAGTCCCAAAACGAAGACAGTTTTCGACATTGTTTACAGAATCGAATCAATTGAAGTTATCCTGACACAGTGCTCCGTGCTCCAGACACAATAACATTCAGAGTATTTGTTTTAAAATATCAAGTGTTTTTGTACTTTTTGTTTTCTCTTCACACTCTTCCTTTTTCCGCCAGAGTCGTCGTGGTCTTCGTTTCGGTGATATGCTGTGCTGTTCAGTGCTGTGCTAAACTCTAATGATTATGTGTTGTGTTTATTGTAAAGATTTATCTTTGCCTACTTTTTTCCGTAGATTATTAACAAAATAGCAAAGCAAAACAAAAACGCTATAGGATTCGCTCGCTCGTTGGCTGGCTGGCTCTGTTTTGGAGATAATTATTAAATGGAATATGTTTGACAACGCCAGGGCACGACAACAACATTAACAATTATTTAACGAAATTGTCCAAAGCGAGAGTGAGAGAAGAAAAGAAATTTTGGTTTCCGAATTAGAATCGCTAACAAAACAAAAGACACTCTGTTACCAGAAACGAAAGAAAAGCAACTACAACAACAGCAACATCATACCTCTGCAACAATATTTAAGTGTGGTCTACAAAAAAAGTCCCAGCCTACAACTATAACAACTACAACAACAAGTGAAAAACATATTTTTGTAAATTTAAGCAACTCTGAAGTCGGTCGTCTGCCTGTCTCTGCCTCCGTTCCGTACTTTTGTATCATTTGGAGCTTTAAACGAAATGCAACAACAAAATAAGAATTATTAATGTCAATGGCACTTCAAAAAAAAGTAGAACCACAAACAAAAACGTAAGACGAAGACGACGACGACAACGCATCCTTTAAGAAAACGACCGGGGCACGGGACAAGGCACAACAAACAAACAACAACTACAACAATAACAAACAAAAATCCCAATTTGCAATTTGTGGTTATTATCATTGTACATTTAAACCAGAATAGTAGTGTTTTCGTACGATTTTCCCAGCAAATGCTACATTAGAAAACGAGTTCCTTAATGCAAATAAAAGCAGAAGTAGAAGAAGAAAAAACAAGTCGATGTCAATGCTTAAATTGATTTGTAACGAAAGTCATCACTGGCACAATGCAAAGTTTGGATTCATCATGTCAAGAAGCTGATGTAAGTATGCGTGATCCGTAGGAATTCATTCCTCTGTAAATACAACATGTCGTTCTTTCTCATTTCTTTGCAGTTCATAATAAATGACACTTTGAAGAAGCTTAAAGGCTCCAATTCAGCAAATTCTGCCAATGCGAATTCGGTATCCTTAGGTGGGTCGAGTGCATCAAACGCAGCTTTACTTAGACAACAACATCATCTTCATACACAGCCGCAACAGATTATTTACCAACATCTGCCCTCATCATCGTCGTCATCATCAACACAGCAGCAACAGCTGAAATATCAGCAGTACCAGCAACTGCAGAATGCTCTTCAGGGCACAAATGTGTCATCGTCCTCGACTTCGACGTCGTCTGGACAGTTGCATCAACAGCTACAACATGTGTTATCTAGTTCTCAGCAACAGCAGCAGCAACTATCCTCACCACAGCCACCTACGCCGCCGTCCCTTGTATCGTCTTCGGCGACGTATAGCGTCACATTTCCCACAAAGTCGTCGCTCATAGACAACAGTTTGTTGCATTGCAATATCTCACAAATACCCAGTCAACCTCCATTATGTATATTTGACGATGATGAACCGACACCTTCCGAACAACCTCCCGCCGAACTTTTGGCACCTTCTGCCACGGCATCCGTTAGTAGCGGCACAGGATTGAATACATCGCTCAGCTATGACGGTTTAGGGTTACTGAGCCATGGCCCAGCTTCTAATTCCAACAGTAGCCATGGCAGTGCCACTGTACACCACATACCCATGGCGGCTCCATCGCCGTCGGTATCTGCGCCTACAGCATTTTCGAGTTTCAATTCGATTACCTCACCATCTCCTGTTGTTCCAGATCTGTTATTGTCTACACCGCCGGGTGTAAATTCTTCTTCACAATCCGTCAACAACAATAATAGCAGCAATCATAACAATAATACAAACAAAAAGGCTGAAAAACGTCCTTCTTCCTCGTCCTCCTCAGCATCCCTATCGACGTCAAACCATCACCAGCAGCATCATCAACAACAACAACAAAGCCATCATCACCACTACCAGCAGCACCCTTCACAGAATCACCTTCCCACACATAACTCCCATCTGCTGGGTTCGTCGTCGTTGCCGACATCCGCATCATCAGCAACGTCTGGGGCAACTGCATCGCCTACCTCATCGCCCAGTAAAAGGCAAAAAATTAAAGACTCTTCAACAAAAAGCTCTCATTCGCCGTCGTTACCACGATCAACACCAACTTCCAATAGCTCAGGTTCTTCATCGGCTGGTGGTGGTACCAGCTACACGTCCACATCTTCCTCATCCAGCGGTTCCAAACGAGAATCTTCATCGCAAAGTTCTACAAGCACGTCGTCAACACACAAGTTCTTTAACATACATGATCGCATTAAGGATCACTATTTCCAGTTACTCGCCAATGACTTGAGTCTATTTGCGGAAACAGGGGTAAGTAGAAGGACTTCATTTTCCCTGATGTTGGACTAAAATTAGACCAGCATAAATCTTCTTCATGAATCTGATTACAACCCATAGGTAATAACTTTCGTTATCTTCCCTTTGTTTCAGCTCAAACAACGAACTCGCTCCTTTGTGTTAGAACGTGTCGTTGAGTGTGAACGACTCAATACAATAGTGGTTAACCTCTATCCGGGCAACAAGGGCTATGCACTGGCTTTGCACTACGATGAGCGTCAAGTGTTGCCACCAGACGCTGAAGGCGGTGCTGCGCTAGCTAACGAATATTCACCATCGTCATTTGCATCTTCTTCGTTATCATCTTCTATGAAAAACGTGTCTAGTCGGAATACAAACATCACTCTGAATAGCAGCAGTGGAAGCAATAGCAACAGCAGCAGTAGTAAACTTCATCCTTCGCCCATACCGCCTGATTTGAAAAGGTTACACTCAGATCATTTGTTGGCAGGTGACACTTCCGCAATAGACGCCGCTGCCAACGTTGAATACTCTTTAGTTGAAGTTTTGCGTTGGCCCTACGAGAACGACCAACTGTTGCAATGTATCGATCGTGAAATTCTGCCCGACTTCTTAATGGATATGCTTGCGGCAACCACAATCACTTTACAAGCTCCCCAGGACGATAGTACAGGGATACCGCGCATCTATGCCAAACCCAATGTTTTCTACGCCGGTTGTGTGGTGGCACAAATTCGCGATTTTCGACAAACATTTGCCACCTCAACAAATATCTGTGATACAAGACACGTGCTGTTACGACCCACCAATGCAACACTGTTCGCTGATGTCCAGCATGTTGCGACAACGTTAAATCAAACCAGCTCAGTTTGCGCTCCCGAAGACAAGATAGCCCTGGAGAGTCAACTAGTATTGGCTACGGCTGAACCGCTTTGCTTGGATCCAGACCCGAGCATAGGACGTCACGCCATCAACTCACAACATGAACGGCAACTGTTCAACACCCACGAAATGAGGCGCCAAATGAAGAAGTATACTCAAATTTCCATAAACCGCAAGAGAAAATTGGATCAGTTTACCCATCACTATGGCCTGGAGTTGTGCGATTATCTGTCAAGGCTTAGGTCGAGGCCAAGATCGGGCTTGGCAGCGGCTAATGCGAATTCGACAACGACAGTCAGTGGATCGGGTAATCCCTTAGTTAGCGCCACTATGTTGACATCGTTCGCATCCAAGGTTCCGAAACGGCCGAAGGACGTTATGCGAACCATACGGCCACCTCGTCTCGACTATCCGGCAAATTTAAAGGTGCCCGATCAGATGATGAACATCGACAAGTATGCAAAGACTAATGAGAGGCCGAGGGAGACCACTGACTGTCAACCTCAGCTCATTGAAGAGTACATATTGGAAACGGAGCGTGATGACAACGAGGGACGGCGTGTTGTCTATCACATCAAGTTGTCAATATTTCAAAGGCCATCAAATTCAGAGTACCTGGGAGAATTGTATGTGGATCGTGATTACCGAGAGGGCATACGGAATGGTGAATCGTGCCGCTTTCCCTTGGGCACACGAGTACATGCGAATCGTTATATTCAACAATTTACGGAGATATTTACCGAGGAGGGTCGCAAAGCTGTAAAGATTACCCATTTGGTTCCTGGCCATGTGCCAAAAGTAACACACACTGGTATTACACCGGAACAGAGGCAGGCGTTGCTACTGCAACAGCAGCAACAGTTGCAATTGCAGCAACAACAAAGGCAGGCTGCATTGCTGGCAGCCCAACAGCAGCAACAACAACAACAGCAGCAGCAACAACAACAAGTCCTGTCGCAACAACATTTAGTAGTTGTCGGTCCCAATGGACAGCAGCAACACATCATACCAGCCACTGTGCAACATGTTACCAACAGTACACAACAACAGCAGCAGTCGGTGCAACATGTTGCCAAGAATATCAATATTGTCAATGTGACTGGCAACAATACTGCCGCTGCGGTTACACATGTCTTAAGGCAGCAACATCAACAACAGCAGCAACAGCAGCAACAACAACAGCAAGTGTCTACCACCCAATTTATAGATGCCAATGGTGCAACGGTTCAACTTCAACATGCCACACTCACTGCCTCCGGTTCCAATTCCAATCCAACAAATAACGCAGGCACAAACACCATCTCAAGTGTTGGTGGACCCCATCACATACAACTGCAACAAATAACAGCTGCCACTGCCTCTGGATCAGGTGGTCAATCTTCTCTAGGAGGCAACTCCTCTGCTGGGGCTCAGACTACAACTACTACGCATCAGTTGAGCTTGAGCAATGGCTCCCTTGTATTGGTACAACAACACCCTGCCCCCAATGCGCAAACGGTACACCACCAGCAAACAACGACACATCAGGCCCTCCAGCATGCTGGCATAACTATCCAACCAGCCAATGCCTCGCATCAGCAGGCGCAAGGCCAGCCAAAGACGCAAGTGATCACCACCACTCAGCTGAATTCTCTTACGTCTGGCAACAATTCGGCCCTAAGAACCCAGCTCAGCTCTAATGTACCAATATTGGTGAGTATTTTTGGACACACTCCGGCTGAATAAGATTTCATATTTTTTTTTCTCCATCATTACAGCAAGCACAGTTAAAGGCAGCTCCTCTGGTGACTGCCACAAATCAGCAGCAGCAGCAGCAACAACAACAGCAACAGCAGTTATTGCATAAACAACAGAACACTGCCAATAGTTCAACTAATACCACAAGTGTGGGTGGGAATGGAAATCCCACTACGACCCTGCACGCCAATCCAGCCATAAATGCAATCTTCACCAGCATTATGAACAGTGCTAATCAATTTCAGCAACAACACCAGCAGCAGCAGCAACAACAACAACATCAAAACAGTAAGTTTTGCAAGCAAAAAAGAGTCGGTTGACCCATTGACGACAAATCCAAACTCCATTTTAAATAGTTGTGCTCTTTATTTGTAGCGGTGTGTTAATCTCTGTTTCATTTCTTTGCCTCCACTTGTAGCATCAAATTCAAATACTTCCACAACTGCAACAGCGTTGAAGAGCTCTAGTAATGCTTCCATATTGAGTTTATTGAATAGTGCACCGGCTGCTATGACCAGCACGCCTGTTGCGAGTGGAACATTTACTACAACTAGCGGTCAACCTGCCCAGCAGCAGCAGCAACACACTGTGACGTTAGTACCACACACTACCACCACCAGTCACCAGCAGCAAACGCAGCCTCAACAGCAGCAGCAGCAACAACAAACGACAACGGTAGTAACAACTGATAACTTCGTTCAGGCTGCTGCACCGCAGCCACCGCCCCCAACAGTGCAAAGTCAGACACAACGAAAGCAAAATGAAGTCCTACAGAATCTTCTGAATCCTGGACGGAAAATTAACATTGTTAGCAGTGGCGGGGCAGGTGTTGGAGGCGGTACAACTACATTTCGCACTAATGCAGCAGGTAACATAATTGCGGTGAATCTCAATCAACCAACCAGCCAACACCATAACCACCACCAGCAGCAGCAACAGGTCCAATCCGGACAACAGATGCACACCGAACATGTTGTCCAGGCGCAACATCCGCAACAGCAGCAGCAGCAACAGTCGACAACAGTGCGTGTATCAATGTCGGCATTGGCCTCCCAGTTGGCATCCCCGCCCGCCATAATGACCAACAGTACAAATTTCGGTGGTTACACGCTGAGCACTGTAACTGGCAGTGGCACGAGTGGCGGCGGAAGCATAAAAATACTCAATAGCGGTATTCAACAGCAACGGGTTTTGGCCAATGCTTTGCGCCGAGATTCAATCAACAGCGTATCACAAGGTCCGCCCAATGCTATAGTCGTTGGTATGGCTGCCCCATCGCCGGGCTCCGACTCGAATGCCTCTAATGCGAGCGGCTTTGCGATACCCCAGTCAACATCGGCCAGCGGTGGGGGTGGCAGCAGTGGAAATACCACAACACTGAATGCTCTGTTAGCCAATGCAACACCCTCTCCTTCTGGGTCGGATCACTCGCAGTCCTCCCAGAACCAAAATCAGAGTCTACTCGAGAGGCTCAACAGCGGTGGGGTAACGACGGGTGCTGCTCTGCCCAACATGTCTCCACAGCAGCACGCACATCCCACGCCGCAACAGCAGTATATAACGAAAAGTCTAGTACAATCCCCCGCCAATTCTTCCATACATTCGCCAATGTCTAGTCCGCATCCACAGCCGTCTCCGTCGCCTCATTTGCCACCGCCACCTCCCACTCAACAGCCTCAATCGGGCCAGCAGCAACAGCAAACTCAACAACAAACCCAAACTACAACACTGAACCTCCAAGGAATCAATTTTTCCACTCTGCAGGGTGCTATGGCCAACTTCCCAGGTCTGCAAAATGTTCAAGTTCAAATTCCAGGTTTTAATCAGCCAATATCACTCCAACTGACTGGAGGAAGCATACAAGCCGTGCAACATCCCGCTCAATCAAACAATTCCGTGTCAGTAGTGGGCACCAGCGTAAGTTCAGCCTCAAACCAGCAGAGCAACAATAACAACAGCAGTGCTGTTGTAGCAACCCAAAATTCCAATACTAGTCAACAACAGCAACATCAAAGAAGCCTTCTAGTGTCTGTGCCCGTGAGCTCGGCAACGAATCAGCAACAACAACAAACCTCTACCCAGCACACGATCACGCTACAGCCACAGCAACTTCACCAACAGCATGGATCGACGGCAACCGGCACAATAGTGAATTTGCAGACAGGCACCGTTGCAACGGCGTCGGGTGGAACACAAACGGTGGTATTGACAAATAACTCTGGTGGTGGGGTGGTGTGTAATACGACGAATTCATCTGGCGGCGCCAATCTCGCAGGGAATTCCGGAAATACAGGCACGACAATGTTAACATTGCCAATTGGTAAGTTCCTGAAGAGAAACCAACAGCAAGTAACACCTTAGCAATTTGTTGGTTCAAAATGCACCTTCCAGAGAATTGAGGTTCGGCGAAATTGTGCTGACATTGAAAACTGTGAAGTTTCTTACTTTAGAGAGGTGCATTCAGGACCAACCTAGATGTAGTTTTGACCTAAATTATATCCAGCATATTGCAAAATGGAAACTATGCTGTCTCTCCCCCATACTGAACAGTTCGTAAGGCCATTGGTTGGGAGTGCGCCTTGCTTTTATTTTGCAATATAATTTTGAAAAAAAAAAACGACATTTTTGAAAATTTATTTACTTTTGATTTTGTATTTTTTGTTTCCTTTACTTTTTTTGATGAATTGATGATGGAAACTCTTTTTTCAATTCAACAACACATTTATTGACACAAAATGCGAAAAATAAACACAACAAATGATTTTTCTTTTTTACATTTTTTGTTCCTTCCAATACCTACCTGCCCCTTGTGGTCCTTCATTTCGTCCCACAACCATTATCCCATTTTCCAAACTTTGCCAAACACCATATCCACCCACCACGAATTCATTTTCATTCAAATCATCAACCAAAATAAAAATATTCATCACCCACCACTGCCCTGCCATTTATTTCTCCATTAATGTTTCGGATTCAAATGCATTTGTGTTGAATATTCAAAACAATTAATCAAAATCAAACCAATCCAAATCAAACAGTTTAAAAGAAAATAACAGAAAACTGAAAAATCCCCACACAAACACTCCTTTTTTAATTTTTCGGAAAATATTCAGTTTGTCTTGCCAAAGCACCGCCACCAATCCCTCCTTTTGTATTGTTAATAACTATAGAGTGGACATTTTATTTCATTACAACTAACCAAAAAGCAAAACAAAACCAAAAAAAAAAACAACAACCGAAAGCGTTGTTTTCTGGCAACCAATCGATTCTACAAATCATGTTACCAAATCAATCAATCGTTCAGTCAAACAAAAACCAAAACCCGCAAATTCCCCTTTTATTACAGCCCAATTGGTAGGAGCCGGTGTACAGAAACTAAATCCGTCGGCGCTGAGAACATCCAGCGCAACAGCGCCTGGAACTAGCGTTGCAACATCGAACGCTGCTGCGTCGGCAGCAGGGGGCAGTATTATTGTGCAGCAACAGCCATCCCAGAACCAACAGCAAGGCACTAATCATCAGGGCCAACAGGCAACCATAACTGTTAGCAGTACGGGTGGCGGAAATCCAACAAATCAGGCTATCCAATTGGTTGGCACGATACAGCAAGGTGGACGAAATATCCAAGTGATGGGACCGAAACAGTTGGCCGGCAGTCGTCAGATAATAACGCAACGTCAAATAGGTGGCTCCACCTTAAAAATAGCAGCAGCAAATCCAATTAACGGTGAGTAGAAGATTTTCAAATTGGAATGAAATTAGTTTTTTTTTTAATTTGTGAGGTTTCGTTTTTATGGGGTGGAGAGGTTTTATTTTGAATTTTTTTTTAAGTTATTTATCGATGAAAGTTTATGAAGTTGTGAAAAACGTTTTTAGTGGAGTTCGAATCATTAGAATGAAAGAACCATAAGTTCTTGAAATTTCGCATGCGGTTAGGGTTCAGAACATAGTAGAGGCCCGTCACCGCGAAATGGACCTAAAGACCAAAAATACCAAAATTCCAATTTAACTGCGGATATTTTAAATGTGAAATGTCACTCTCCGCCGGAATCACAAATACAAGGTAAAATGAAGAAACTGCAACCAACTTCAGACTGCTGTCATTTCTAAGCCACTCGTCCGACATCTGTTAAAAGTATTCGAATGACAGCTCATTACACCTAAGTCTGTTTTTACACGGTAGATTGGTTCCAGAAGGAGCCGTGTAAAAAAAGACATTGATCTTATGCAAAAATGGGTGATTTGTTCCTAATCTCTAAAACCTATTAAAATTAGCAAAAAACAAGAATTTTTAATTTTTTTCTTTACCAAACACGTCTTATTGCATTGACAGTTCACAAAATATTAACACGTTTCAATTGCTCTGACCAGTAAATTTTATTGTATGCACATAAAGGGAATTCCCCTAAATTAGTGCTATTCACATTTGCTTTGACCAGTAAAAATTATTTGTACGCGCTAAAGGGGAATTCACTTAAATCTTTAAGGTAGTGTTCGCAAACTATCAATACTATCGATGGTTTCAGACTTTTTTCTTTCATAAATACTTTTTTGTGATATGAACATATTTCGCAAAAATTAAATTTGACAAAAAAAATTAAGTACATACAGTTTCAAATCGTGCTAAATGGAATAAAATCGTGTAAAAAAATTAAAAATATTCAATTTTCAAACCGTGTTATATCAAAACCGTGTACATAAAGACCGTGTAAAAACAGACTTAGGTGTATATTATTTACAAGCGTACAAAAGCATTTTGGTGAGAATTTTCCAGAAAAAAGTTATTATAACAATTCTCACCAAAATGCTTTTGTACGCTTGTAAACAATATAATGAGCTGTCACTGGAATAATTTTAACAGTTGCAGTTTTTTCATCTCACCCTGTATATCGAACTTTTCCATAAATTATAGTGTAGTAGAGAATCACATGATAGGCCGTGTCCGGCTGTAGCCTTTGTTTTAGTAAAATTTCGGGGTATTTTAATGCGGAAGGCATAAAAAGTTTTATTTGGGCCTATTCTCCTTTGTCATATATTGTCAGTTCTGCCCTTTTATCGATATTTTATTATGGATAGAAAGCCCCACTTTTTATTATTGACTTTATAGTTTTGATTTCTTTCGTTTAGAGTTTTTTTAATTTTAATTTTGATTTTATTTTTTGGTTTTATAGCCACTTCTAATGCAAATATTACCTCATCAGCCAATCTAACTGCCACGCCCATTGTAATGTCAACGCAAAAATTGCAATTGAAAACGATTAAAGCCACAGCTGCGTCACAGCAACAGAGCCAACAACAACATCAACGCATTCTCAATCAAATAGCCGCCACCTCGCAGACAAATTCGCAGGGAGGGCAACAACAGCAGCATCAAACCCAGACGGTTATTATTGGCCAAACACCCGCTCAAGCAGCAGCAGCAGTGCAACAAGGCTCCCAGCCACAACAACAGCAACAGCAGCACATACAGATATCGGCGAGAGCTGGTAGTAATTTAACACAACGTGCCATCACAGCCTTTGTGGCTAAACAACAACAACAGCAGCAGCAGCAACAACAACAGGCAGCGGCGGCTGCAGCTGTAGCAGCAGCGAATCGAAGACGTTCTGCGACTGATGTAAATAAGTAAACTCTAATAACTAAGAAAACACCTACCTACCTACACACCCTTTAAGCATTTTGAATGTATTCGCAGAGGAATCAAATTTCCTGAAATGGAGAAGAAAACCAAACTGTCTGGTAATGTTAAGGCTTCTTTCTTTATTCTTTTGTTCAAGTGTCGATCAGAATCTTGCTCTGGCGACAAATTTGCGCTGATCACAGACCTTACAGCTTTAAGAGAAACAAGAAAAACTCAAAACTCGTTATACCAATGTGCAAAGAACTCTTTTTTTTCGGTTCTAAATTAGTTAGTGTAGTTGAAATAATTTTAATTTGTTTAATACAACTACACAATAATCAGCAGGTGGTGACTTTTTCATTGTAAATTTTATTTTGGCAGAGCCTGTGTTTCACGCTTGTTTCTATTAAATTTGAAATCTGTGTTTGTTGATTTCCAAATAGGCAAATAAATACTCCACCACCTCTGCCAACAGCAGCAGTACTAAATAATGTAATTAGAATCATTTATAATTTGCTATTATTTATTATGTTTTGTTTAGCCGAAGAATAAGGGAAGGCGAAATTGAGAAGTCAACAAACAACATTTTATTGGCATACCATTGAATCGATTCAAAAAAAAGAAAAACAGAAGAATGGTCTCTGGCAATAGCATGTGAAACTTATTGATATTGTAAATTGTAAACTAAAACTATAAATTCAACTCTATTAAATAAATACATATTTATAAACGAAAAGAAAATTAAACTAAAACACAACACAACACAAATAAAAAGGAGATACTAAAAACGTGCAGAAGAGTATTAAAAAAAAATGGTGCATTGAAACCTAAACTGTGTGTGTACGAGCGTGTGGAAATTATAGTGTAAGTACATGAGAAGCTTGAAGTCATGGCTAGACATATTTTGTGACATTTCATAAATGGATTACAGAGCCGCACTAAATTTTCCGTTTTCCATTATAATTTGACATTAATATGCCTAGGCATGTCTTTAAGCTTTTTATGTAGTTGCACCTTTACTCTTCCGTTGTTTACCACCAAATAGCCAAGTTCTAAAATACATTTGTTGTACATCTAATAGGCATAGCATTAGTAATGAACCTTACATCGAATCTAGATTCAGATTAGCCAGAAATTAGTTTTGTCACCTTTAATCTGATAATATTCGGTCCTATTACGGTTGTCGTCGTCGACGCAAACTAAAGCCGAGGCGATAATAATGGTATTAGGGTTGTCGTTTTTTTGTCGATAGCGATAAATGATTGCAATTATGATTGTCGATAGAAAAGTCGACGTGAAGTCATTTTCAGAGAATATCTGTCGCCGTAAAAAATTGTGACGACATTGTTTTTAAGTCGACGTTGATATTTTAACCATTTTATATTTGACATTTGACCATGAAAATAACAACAGCAAAACAATTTGGAAATACTAAAGTCATTTTCGACACTGGTCTAATATGATACTAGCGCTTAAAACCTCAATGCTGTGGCCAATTGGAACTGCTCTAGTTTAGCAAAACTAATTTTTTCCATTGGTAGGTAGTTCCACCCTGATTCCGGGAAACTATTTTTTTCTTAGGAACGGACCCGGGACCCCAGATTTTTTATTCAAAGTTGGGGTTCAAGACCCCAATCCACTTACCCACTAGGTATCGTTGAATGCTTACTCAATATAGACAGTAGAAAATACCTATCCAACAAGTGGTCACATAACCACCGAAAGCCGGCTACTTACAACAACTTACAACTGTTAAATTTAGAAAACGTCGTCGATGACCATAGAAACGACAACCTAATTGGACCGATTGTGTTTTAATTGATATTGAAAAAATAATCACTGTATTGAATTCTCTGCTAAATTTTACATTAGGTTCTTCATTTCTTGCAACTTTTTGTTGTCAAGCTGAAAATTTCGTCTGATTTCATTCAAATTAGCAGACCACAATTATTTAACAGTAACTGTTTTATTAAAGTGAAACACCCGCTCACCCGCGCCTACACACACACGTTAATGAATTTGGCTCATGCAAACCAGCAATACTTTTAAATTAACTGACTGTCTTTTTTAAATCTGTATCTTCTTGGTCTTCTCTGACGAAGTCTGATATGTGTTACTTATTTAAGTAACATTATTGTATATTATGTATTGAACATTGAAAAACAAAAATACAACAAATTACATATAAATTTAAAAAGGAAAAAACCCTGTTATCGACAAAATTCTATGCAAGACTAATTGGCACATCATTAAATGTTTTGGCTTTAAAATAAAAACAAAATTCGAGTCAGCACACAATTCAACTAACTTAAAGCTCTTAACAAAATGTATTCCTTTTAATAAAAAAGAAAAAAAAGAAAACAAAGCAATATTTGAGCATGATTGTATATTACAAATAAAAAAATCGGAACATTTTTCTTAATTCTACTAACAGAGAACAAAAAAAAAAAAACAACAAAACTGATCATGTTTTCATTATTATTATTAATTTATTATTTATTTACCGATTCAAAATATAAGCAACATAATACTATATACATTTTTATAAAACAATGTATAAGGTATGAATTGAGACAACAAATAAAAATAAAAAAATAAAAATAAAAAATTTGCAAAAAATATTAAATAAACAAATATGATGATATTCGACATTTATATAGTTTTTTATAAATATTAATTTCTTTTACTACTCATAAAGAAAACAAGATACAAAAAACCCAGCTCCTGCTCCTACTCCTCCACTTCTATAACTTCGTTAAATATTTAAGTATAATTATTATCGTAATTAATATTAACTAAATAAGGAAAAGCAAGCATCAGCAGCAAACAATACTAATTATAATTATAAAAAACAACAACAACAAATTCTAATTATTAAAACATAAGTTATTATTGTGTAGTCTTAGAGAAACAAACAAAGTTTTAACTTGGCTTTTGTTCTTTATCATTATTATTATTATTTTTTATTAGAAGATTAACAAATTATTATTATTATTTTTAAATAAAAAATAAAACAATCAAGCAACGTTTACATGAATTTATTACTCTTATATTTTTGTTTTCTTTTGATGTTTATTTTTCGCCCTAGTTCTCCAACTTAAGTCCTTAAATAATTAGCAGTTTTTATTTAAGTTTGAACGAACCCAATTTATTATTATGACATTAATTTAAATTAAAAATTTTAGAGAAGAAGAAAAAAAAAAACAAAGAAACAAATAAAATTAGCGCAATCTATTGTACAATTGTATAAAAAACATGTTTTTCTGCTTATTAATTGTTTTCGATTTTTTCATTAACGTTATTGTAAAAAAAAACTAAAGAAGAATAAATATGAATTATTTATTTCCATCTTTTTTGTATCTTTAAAACAAAAACAACAACCAGCCAACCAATAAATAAGGAAATACAAAAAAAAAAAAACATTATTTTGTTATAAACTATTCATGTGAATGGACAACAACAAAAAAAAATTCAATTTGAATATCATTAGAGTATAGAATTTAAGTCATTATTAGCTTCAGACTCATTACAAGAAATAAAAAATAGTAGCAAACAGATTAAAAAAATTATGCTATAAATATACATACAGATATTTATATTTAATATATACATACATACATGATATGATTAGATAATACAACTATAACAAAGTTTTTGAGACAAAATAATAAAAAAAACCACTGAAAATAAAACAAACAAACAAATTAATAATTATATATATAAATTATGTATGATGGGTATGAATGGAAGGAAGAAAGGATGTATTTATTGGGAAGAGACACTAGATAACTAATCAAGGTAAATACCAAACACAATGCTTTATAAAGAGACTGTCAATAAATGCTTCAAGAACAAGAACAACAACAAACAGGCTTATCTCCAAACAAACAAACACACACAAACATAACATAACATTGTATGATGATCAGGATTTGAAGAAGTGTGCCAACCAACCAACCAAACAACAACAAACTCAATAATATCCTACTATACTACTAAATAAATAAACAAGTCTGAAATTATTTGTTAAACATAATAATTAAAAAAATTATGAGAAATATTCTCCCCAAAGTTATTTATATTTGTATTTGTGTGAGAGAGAAAGAGAGAAGATAGAGTGAACAAAATGATGCCAGAGAGTAATAGAGTGACTGCGTTGGCTTTCATTCATATCCCTGATCGATCGTTCAAATTAAATATTTTTGTAATTTTCTAGCAAGAACAACCAACAACAACACATACAAAAACAGTAAAGCATTTTTCAATATAAAGCGAGGAGAAAATATCAACCAATGGATAATAAACACAGAAATAAACACAGAAATACTCAAGAATAAATTGCTTACGAATACCTGAAATGTGTGAGAATGCAAGTAGTAGTTACTAGTTTAAATACATTTTATAAATAAGCCAAATCAGAATTGCAGGAGAGCGAAAAGGAACCCCAATAAAAGAAACCTGGGGAGGATTACAGAAAATTTATAAAACAACAATTCCTATCGTTGCGGCTTCTGATAATATTTTCTAATTTTTCTGGAATAATATTCAAATTCTAAGGACTTTTCTCTCCGAATCTGCACAAAAGTATGCAAAATGAAATGATTGCTAGTAGAACTTGAGTCGAACTTTAATGGTTTCTGGTTTCACATATGCTTAATGACAATGACATCGAAATAAATGCTACTTTCCCCAGAACGGCCCTTGCAAGCCGCTTAACCCATGACGAACAGAGCCCATGATAGTGGCTCTCTGGCTTGTTTCTCTCATTAAGCTAATCGCCTTGTAAAGCTTTATGAAATTCACGTTGTTACCCAAAAGTAAAAGTATGAATTAAATTTTTATGCTTTTGATTCTAAGAAGCACCCACAAATTCGATTTGTAAAACATACAGAGATTCGGTGTTTTTTCTTTCCGACTCATTTTCTGATAAACCAAATTACCACGACCTCACATTACAGTAGAAGTGATTCCTTACTTATTCCTCAAGGGTAAAATCTGAGAATTTTGTATGGGCCTTTCAAATTACATATTGTATTTCCTCATCTTTTATAAACTGTCTAATCCTCCCAGTTTCGACATTGGAATTGTAAATATAAATAAACAAATTAATACGCTGTAGAATTGAACAAAAATATATTGTGCATAAAACTCAACTTTTTCATTCGAATCCGAATTCAACGAAATCATTTGATTATTGCTATTTGTCTGTTTCTTTTCACATTAAAGAAAAAAGAAAACGAAAAAAATACAACATCCTCAAAGAAGGCGGCATTTAACATTTAAACTTGATGACAACAAGTTCTTGTATTAGAATTTAAACGAAGAAACACTAAAACACAAATTTAAGACTTAACACTTAAAAAAAAACAAATAAACAAATGATATGTAAAAATGATTAAGTAAAGTTTGCATTGTTATAAACACTGGAGAGAGAAGCATGTGAATGTAATGTAATATATTAAATATTAGACGGTTCTAATTTGATGTAAAAAATAACCAAGTAAAATAAAATAAAAAAAGAATCTTATAAAACTTGCAATTATTATTATTATAATTTATTAAATATTACATATTAAGTGAAAATGAGAAATAAAGGACAACTTAATATATAATAATATTAATTATAAATAACATACAATACACAAATATACGAAAAAAAAATAACAAATTGTCTTATTTGTGTGGCAGCATCATGCTGGTGGTTCCAGAATGAAATTTGGATAGAATCGTAATCCTTCCAGCGATTCATCTCTGCATAGTTTGCCCAAACGTTCGGCCGTCAATAATCGCTCTTTAGCCAATATCAGTGATATATTGCGAGCCTTTGCCAACTCCTCTACAGCCAGTGAATTGGATTCCTGGACCAAACTTAGGGTATCGTTGGCCGTTAATTCATCGTCTTGAGAATCTAATTGTAGTACCATGGCACCACTGGGAAATGTGCGTAACTTCATTGGTCCTTCCATGCAACGACATGCCTGTAGCAAATCTTCAGGTGATAAAAGTTCCAAACCTCTGGCTCGATTTACACGACAATAAACATCAGCCAATGACATCATACCTCCAGCTTCCTGCAAAAGAATTTAAATGAAACATGTTTGCAAAGAATATTTTTGAATCTAACCTCCAGAGGATCTAGCAACATTTCACATAATTGCCCCGCCAAACTCTTGTAATAAGCCGAGTCACTTGAATAGCCATCTCTGGTGACGGGGTCATCAATGCCCAAACTCAATAGATAAGATTTGAATCGCACAGTTTCGTCATTGGATATTTCACCCTTTTGCGAGCGAATTTTATCACTGATCACCCTGGCAATAGATACCATGTCTTTTGCCATTGCCATCAGAACTCTCAGATCCTGAAATGCCAATGCAATATTTTCTTCGGTTTCTTTGGTTTTTTGTTCGATTGCTTTCTCAATGCCTCCAATGCCTGTACGCATACGCAATTTTGCTTCTCTTGCAGCCCTATCTTGGGGGGTTTCTTGAGGCTCTCCGCCGTTTAGACCAGTTTGAGTGGACGGAATTTGAACATTCCATATTCTTGCTTGTAGTGTTTCTCGTAAGGCATTGGCAAATTCTGGCAACACGCCATGCTTGCCAGAAAGTTTTATAAAGGAATTATTGCTATTGTCCAATGGTCCCGGTTGCTTATCAGCAGCAGCAGGTCGCAGATGAAGAATTAATCTTGTCTTACGTCCAAATACAAAATTGCTAGCCTGTTCCTCACTCACAGACACTATGTATTTTAAATTTAGGCACAAACAAACGGCTGCCCTTGCAATCTCTCCAGGACGTCCCCAAAACATTCGATGAGTTGTCAGCACCAATTCCCCTTCCTCAAATTGTGTCTGTTATTAAAAAAATACAAGAAGTTAACGAATTTAATTTTTTTTATAAATAATTTTCCTACCTTTTGGTCGCCATCGTAAAGTTTAATTTGACTTTCTTTACTAACAAAGGATTCATTTTCGTTGAGCCTCGCTGGGATATATTCAAACCGGTTCATATCTTAATGACCTATGGAGTAATAATCAAAGGAATCGGAATCTACAGCCACCGCACACCCAACCAACGAAATGTCTTCTTTTTCTGCGGTCCTCACAAGTTTATACATAACAATCTAATCAAGTTCTGTATTGTTGCATTAAATTTAAATAGTTCGCCTATAATGTAAATATTTATTAAAATGAACACGAAAGAAACCTGCTTCTGTGTAATATTAATAATATTATTTATTTTTTTTATCTCGAAATGGCGAAATGATGCTATCTCCCAGTTCACAGTGGAATCGGTAATCGGTTGTGAGCGCGTGGGAAACCAAAATGAAAGACGTCCCCAACGGAACAAATAAGAAATCAAAAAGAAATGCCCGATAAAAAAGAACGAGAAAGCAAAATCCCCGAGGGACCTCTGTTGTTTACGAATGAGTGGAATGCATAATGCTGGCCACATTCATTAAATGAACCGGGGAGTAAGTTCCTTCAACTCGGGGCCGGCTTTAGGTACATATAAGTTAACGGCGTCATTGTTGCAAAATGAAGCAATCACTGAAAAATGATAACATGTTATCACAAATGATAACATTTGCAAAAATGCACATTTCACTTAAAACCATTTCCTTTCTCCATTTGGCTGCAGCCAAACGAAACGAGGAGAACACGGACACGGCATTCTCTTTTGCTATTATTTACTACAAGAAATTGCCATATCTTAAAGATTTGCCAAATAGTTTTCCGCGTTTTATGGCAAGGTAATTCTCTTTTTTCTTGTAATAAAAAGCTAAAGTTACAACGGTTTTTATGGGTCACCCGTTACATTTTGAATTGATATTACAAAGTAAAAATGAACATTCAAGTAAATCAATTTCACAAAGAAAAATAAATAAATGAAAAATAGGCAGTTAGAGCTTTGACTATTAATTACAGTTCTCTTTTTTATTTATTTTCTTATTTTTCCTTTTCAGAAGAACATATATTCGTAAAGATTGTTGAGTTAACACATGGAGTGTTATTATTTTTCAGTGATTATTTGTTATTCCAAAATGAGTTGCCCAATCCCTTTGCAAAGATGACGCCGTTAACTAATATGATTCCACTTGATATTCTAAGCTTTCAAGAAGAAGAAAACGTTAATTCACAATGGCATGCAGTTTATAAACAAATACCAAATACCATCGTATCGTACCAGAAAGCAAATTCCCAATCATGGCCCAATTATAAGGTCTTCTTTCGAGCGAATTAATCTAAAAACAGCTGTTATTTTACCAGATGAAATGTCAAAATTCATGCTTGAGGCGAAAATATTTATTTTCGCCTCAAGCATGAATTTTGACATTTGAATTTTGTGTTGACAGAAGAATTTTCATTGTCCCAGCAGCTATGCGATGCGACTACCTGTATTCTTCTACTATAGTTTTGAAGTTTGTTTTGGTTGCAGCGAATTCAAATTTAATTGACAGATCGTGTGGTAATCTGCTGAACTTACTCCCCGGTTCATTTAATGAATGTGGCCAGCGGTTCGATTTCCTCATGTCTCATTCGTAAACAACAGAGGTCCCTCGGGTTATGCATTCCACTCATTCGTAAACAACAGAGGTCCCTCGGGGATTTTGCTTTCTCGTTCTTTTTTATCGGGCATTTCTTTTTGATTTCTTATTTGTTCCGTTGGGGACGTCTTTCATTTTGGTTTCCCACTCGCTCACTACCGATTACCGATTTTTATTATTCATCATATATTTATTTAATATTTTTTTTTTTTTGGCCAACTCTGTTATATTTTTACTCGTATTTATATTAAATGCAATAACATAATTTACACGACACGATCAAGTTCGCTCTAAATTTGAGGAGAGCACAGAAAAAGAAGGCGTTTTAGTCGTTTTTCGTACAAAAAATTTCGGGGAGAAAAAAACTGAACAAAAATAATCTTGTTGCGCCACAAATAGTTTTTTTTTTTATTATTAATTCATTTTATAATGGACACTGCCAAGGCAACAACGACGGAGGCAAGCAAAATGCTAGAAGAGGCTCTGCTCCAAATGGATGGCATAATAAATCAGAGCGGTCAGGGTGCTGGCGGCGGACGAGGAGGTATTGTTGGTGGCGATCAAACATCTGCAGCTAGCAGCCCAAACCCAAACGGAAGTTGTAATATTTTAAATGAGCGTAGTGTCATATCAAACGCAAATGTTCTGTCAACAGCAAAAACTTTAGCCTTGGCACTGCAACAGGTGAGATCAGTTTTTTTTGTTTAAATTTAAATAAAACAAATTTTGTGGATTTTCCATTTAAACTATTTTATTGTTTTATTTATCATCATTACATCTGAAATTCGTCACACTAAATATTTCATTACTAGGTTGGCTTAGCCGCCCCTACTCCCGATCCTGTAACGGCCGTTATTATTGGCGAATGGCTTGATCCCCATATTCCCCGCCCCAGCGACGATGAACGCGTTAGACGTGTATTACGCGACAAAGAATCTTTAGCTTTACAATACCAAATGGTAGCAGATAAGGTGTGCGAACAGGCTGATCGCATCGTTGAACTCGAAGGATTACTAGCGGAGAAAACACAACAATTGAGTGCCAAAGATGAGCTGCTACAACGCCAGCTGTGTACACGTTCTGAGTTGGAAACGCAAAAGCTTGAACTTATGTCAGCGCTAAGTGAATTGAAATTGCACAGAGCTGCCTTGGAACGGGAAAATATGGAATTGAAAAATTTTGAAAATCTAACAATTTCTCAGGAGCCCCTCAGAAGAGTTGCTGCCCCTTTTGGCAGCATGGGAAATTTAAATCAAGCTACACAGTCGCCCAAAACACCACCATCCTCATTGCGTCATCAAATACATCCGCTTTATCACAGCTTACCCAGATCACAATGCCATAAGAACAATAACAGACCAAAATTGCCCATAAATCCGAATCATCTGAGCAATAACAACAACAACAACAATAGCACTATTACCAACAATAACAGCAATAAATCATGTGACAATAATAGGCAACGCAATGTTGCCTTTGCCTCGAATGAAAAAATACTCATTGATGATGATTGTGGTCGTGGCGGTGGTAGTGGTCAGGACGGAATGTATGACAGTTTCATGTCGCAATCGAATTCGAACTCAACTCCATCGCCCACATTGAAGGAACGTTCGGCGAAAGGATTCCGCCAAATACTTGGCAAACTAAGGCGAAGCAATAGCGGAAATCTGGAACTGCCTGCATTGGAGCAAGCGGAGCCAGAATTCCGTAGGGGGGACCGAGCTAGGGCAACAGCTGGCGGACGAATTGAGTGGTCCACCCAGACGCCGCAGGGCTCCATGAATTCCAATAGGAACTGGAAGGAATGGACTTTGCAAGACCTTTGTAATTGGCTAAACGAGATTGGCTTGCAATGCTATGAAGACGAATGCAGGTTAGTAGTTGCACGGAGAAATAATTGATGGATACTTATTAGTTTATGTCTTCATTTCAGAAAATGGCTTAAAAATTATCCAGTGTCTTGCTTTTTCAATGCATCTCCTGTGGATATTGAAAAGGAGTTGGGCTTAAAATCCCCATTACACCGCAAAAAGATTGTGCTGGCCATGGATGAACTATGTGGTAGAGAAGAAGATCCACTAGCCTTGAAAGCCGCTCAGTTGGATATTGGGTGGGTAGTACGCTGGCTGGACGACATTGGTCTGCCGCAGTATAAAGACAACTTCTTGCAATGCAAAGTGGATGGGCGAATGTTACATCGTTTGACCATGGAAGACTTGGCGCAATTGCAAGTAACATCATGTCTACATATTGCATCTCTACGAAGAGGTATACAGTGCATGCGTGAAATGGATTGGAATCCCGAATGTCTAATAAGACGTTCGACAAAGGTGCCGAAGCGTAACAGTTCCGAATTGCAGGAAGAACAATCGGAAGAAATCGTCGATACGAGTCTGGAGTATATAGCTTTGTGGACAGCACATCGCGTTATGGAATGGTTGCGTGTAGCCGATTTATCGGAATATGCTCCTAACTTGAGAGGCGCTGGTGTACATGGTGCTCTAATGTTGTACGAACCCAGATTTAATGCCGAGTTACTGGCCGATCTATTAAGTATACCACCGAGTAAGACGCTGTTACGTCGTCATTTGGCAACACATTTCAAGGAGCTCTTGGGACGCGATGTAATCCAAGGTAAGCGAGACACTGAGGCCCAACCCAATTACCAACCGTTGACCATAACGGCCAAACTTAAGCCACCCAAAAAGACCCAGTTCTCTTTGAAACGAAGAAAATCTACAAAGGGTCTGACATGTGGTGGCACTGAAATCGAATGGACCGACTATGTGTGTCCCATGAATAGTGGGTGCACATCGAACGAACCACAGCACCATAACAACTCAAACACATCATCATCTTCAACAAATTCGACCAGCAATTCAACGCAATTGCAGTAAAGTGTATCTATCCTAACATATCGAGGATATAATGTATTTTAATCATCCTATATTATTTCTACTTGTACTCATCTTCCTTACTAACTTTGAATTCACACACACACACACACGCTTCAATTGCATTTCAATTGTCACTCACACTCACTCGCTCACTCGCTCAGTATCCCCCTACATAAGAACCAATGTGTGTCTTCCAAAAATGCGTCAACAAAACAAAGTTTTGTCTCGTGTTTTTGCTCAAACGAAAACCAAAACTAAAAGTAAAACGATAGTATTCCCAAGCATTAAAAATATTTTTTTTATATAGTTAAATGTGTAGTCAGTCGACAAGGCATTCGGAAGCTATGACATTTTTGTTTATTTTGTGTGTTTGAAAAGAAAATAGCCATAGAAATATAAAAATGTCCGCAAATACCGCCAGAGTATTTAAAACAAAGAAAAGAAAAACAATACCACCCACCATTGATTGATTGATTTTAATTCTTAAACACAGTTTGTATTTATTTGTTCACCCAATATTTGCATTTAAGTTTGAATCGTAAGATTTAAAAGAGAAGATTCTTATATATTAGTTAGGACCACCTACCTGCAAACGTTCGAACCCTAAAACTAACAATAATACCAATTATATGACAACCCTGAAATGAATATGTTTTATTTTTAAGAGTTTATAGTTTATTTTAAATTCCTGTTTTGAACAATAACATAACTTATTTAACGTACAAAATCAACAATTTAACACTAATGCTGTAGCATAAAATTGTCTTTAGCGTTTGGTTTTATTTGTTTGAAAAATATATATGTATACATATTTATACGGCATTAGTACGTAGTACGTATGTATATCCGAATGCAATGCAGATGGAAAAATGGAAAACAATAAATAAAAATTTGTTAATCAAAATTGTAATACAATAAAACAAAAGAAGAAAATTATATAAAAGAAACAATAAACAATATAACCTTAACACTTAAATGACTAGACTTTCTCATTACGTACGTACGTCTGTACATAAATATGTTTGTTGTTTAACTTAAGGACGGATATGTGGTGTTGTGTGTTGTCAACACTTTTTGTGGTGGGTGTAGAGCATTTTCACTGAATGATGGCCGGAGTTTTTCCATAACACCCTGAAATTTGTTTGCTATAAATGCTAGATAGTCCGGAGCTTGTACACCTCAACAAAAAGAAAAAAAATGATGCAATTAAATGTATAAATGTCACAACAAAACTTAAATCATATCTTTGGCAGCATTTTAGATGTGTTCTTAGTAGATATTTACAAATTATAATTATTCAGTTGATTAATTTTAAGAAAAAATTGTGATAAGATCGAAAAGACCTCAAATCGAGCTCTACACAATTCATACAAATGTATTTTGGGGGGGTTGTATTTTTTTAGAATTTATAACAGGTAACAAAGTCTCTTAAATGACCCAGAGACAATCGCCAGCAGTTTTACAATTAATGATGTAATTGTTTTGAAATTCAGAAATATTTCCCCCCTCAACTATTCGATTATATGTTCTTCCCCTCGGTCGCGCGCTACAACACTTTCCACCGTCGGGAAATCCCCTCGATGATGGTGTAGTGACAAATTTGCAAGTGATCCTTCTTTTTCATCGGTAGCAGCCGCAGCGCAAGCAATTGCCGAAGTTGCCGGCGATGCCATGACCGGCCCATGCCCATTTCTATGTATATCGTCTGGTAAGTAATCTTTCCAGTTTCTAAATAAATATCTTGTAAATTTCTTCAACTGACGAAATTTACAATAAGTCGCTCCCTCCGCCGATTCCAACTGTTGCGTTTGTATGAGAAATCCCTGTTCTTTGAAGGTCTTCTCCAGCTTCTCCCTTTGTGTGCTGCGTCGCAACTGGTGCAAGGCTTGCTTTTTGCGCGATAGCATAAAGCGATTTGTACTCGATGGAGATGTGGAGGGTGTTTGATTGTAGTCAAAATTCTCTTCGAAATAGTTTTGGACGCATGGCTCACTTGGTGGCATTTCTTCAGTCACAGTCCCAGTGGGTGGAGGTGGTGGGGGCGTGGCTTTGGCAGATATTGCTGTATGGGTAATAACGCTACTACTTGTTACTGGCTGCAATAGCATATTGGCCGTGGGAGATTCTGGTATGTGCAGCAATTCATTGCTAAGACCCGCTGAGGGCGGTGGTATATCTATCAGCAGCTTTTGACCCGTTCCATGCGTTAGACCGCCACTTTGCATCATTTCCCTGGGAAAATACTCATAGCCCCGTGTGGTTTTGTCTCCAGTTCCACTGAAGTAACGATAATTGCCACCAGCATCTACCGAAAGCATCTTCTTCTCCTGCAATGTTGGCTTCGAGCCGCCCGTAAACTTAAATTTGCAAATGCTCACTTCTGTTGCGGGGTTAGAGGTATTCTCCGTGTTCATGGGCGGTATGAAAATGGCCGATCGCTTACGTTTCTGAGGTGTTTGGTTTTGTTGTGTGTTGTTGCCAATCACCGTGCTGGAGCTTGCATTTGTTGCAGTTGAATTCTCAGACTTGATTGAGGACGGTGTAGACAATTGTTCGGGATAATCTAGATTTAGGCTATTGGCAACGGAGGGTGCTGGACTTGAGGCCGTACCGAGTGTTTTTTCAACTTTGGGTGTTAAGAAGAGACCGCTGGGTATGGGTATTTTTAATGCCAACTGATTGTCTTTTTGAATGGTTTTGATGGGACCATTGGCGTTTTGCAATAATACTCCACTCTCCAGGAGTTTCTGGTAGTAAAGCGTTAGCGGGTCCAGTGGAGATCCTTCGGTGTTGGCATTACTCGACGGATGGTGCGATGTCGTAGGGGTCATGTCTTTTGCTTCCAATTTAATGTGGTCATTGTCCAGCTCGTTGAGATTCGTTAGTGATCTTTTCAAGTTATTCGCCAGCATGGAATCCCGATCAATGTCGGAGGGGGTTGTTATGGGCGGTGTGGGGCAACTGGAATTTGTCTCAGAGGCATCATCTGCACTTGAAATTGAATAGGCGTCAGTTTGTTGATCGCGTAGACAGAGATTGAGGGGTTGCTCTTCGCCATCATCAGTCTTGGTGTGTTTGTCCTCCAAACGGTGCTTGAGATCGACTTGGGAATCGTGCGTCGCGGTTTGATTTTTGGGCATTATTGTCCCATAATTTTTATATATTAAGTGACAAATGTCCGCCTTCTTGGGTTTGCGTCCCCTGCGTGGCTTACTGTTGTCCAATGTGATCTCACCCATATACGGTAGGTCGGAATAGAAATGAGTTTTTCGATGGTTAACAGACTTGACAGACTTTGCCGTAGTGTTTGAGGAGCTCGCCTCGCTATTGCCGGGAATGGCGGTTGTGGCCGCGGTAGTTGGGCCATGATTTCTACTCTGATTTTGGGGATTGTTGTTGGAATCGAGAGAGGACTGTTGAGTGTTACAAACTTTGTTGTCGGCGTTCTTCGAAGCATTTGCCGTTCTTTGAATTTCAGCAATTTTTTGTAGCCAACTCCTGACGTTCTCATGGGAATTCCTATTGGAGGACTTTTGAGCTGGACGTTGTGGATTTGTTGTAGACTTTGCCGGCTTTGTTGGCCTTGTCTGACCTTGTGTCGCTTCATAATGGCTAAGATATTCGGGCGGTAATGCTTGATGATGGAATCTTAATTTGATGGATGTGTTGGTTTTCTTTCGGGTCTTTGTGGCACCGGCGTTGCGTATTTTTTGACTTGGACATTGGTTAGACATTGTGGTGGAGGAGACATTATTCTCCCTCTGTTGTTGTTGTTGCTGCTGCTGTTGTAACTGTTGTTGTTGTTGTTGGTTTCTAGCACTCATTAGATTTGCCTTAACTTTGAGCTGTTGTTTGGTTAGATTGCTGCAGCCACTTTTTATGGGTTTCGCCGGGACATCTGTTGAAGCATGCAATGGTGGTGGTGGTGGTCCATTAACTGGTTTTCTGATAATCGTTGTAAATATTGGAGATTCTTGCGCCGCTGCAACAGAGCTGCTAGATGTTTGAGGAAGCTCCTCCGATGTTAGTAGACATTTGGCAAAGTCTGCTGGATGCTCATCGTCATGACTAATAACATTATTGGCACCGTGACTTATCAAAGGATCCTCTGAACCCTGAAGCAACAATTTGCTATTATTGCTATGATCGAACCTTTGACTGTGGTGGTGGTGGTGATGATGATGATGGACAGATAAACGATGGTGGTTGAATTCGTGACTATTCATGGGATGCTGTTGCCAAGTACTTGGGTGTGAGGGAAATAAATCTAGGGTGTTGGTATCTTCGAGCTTAACGGAGGCAAAGGCAGTGGCGGGTGCTGCATTATAAATATCAACTGGTGTCAAGCGTTTCGGCAGTACCGGACTGATGGGTGATGAACTTTGTATCCTGGATATGAGGGTTGGACACATATCCTTTTCCGTGTGGCTGTTTGAGGAGTTGAGACTATCGCCCACATTCAAGAGTGAGAAGTCATCGCGGGAAATTTCTTGCATGCTATGGCCAACTGGAATGAGAAGAGAAGCATAAATAGACACATCAAACCAATATTGAAATATCTGGGAAGAGATCTTCAAATTAATTAGCTACGAATAAACCACTCTCTCATGAATTACCGTTAAATAAAAATTCCGGTAGCATTTTTAAATTATCCATCAATGTCATAAAGCGTTTTGAATCAGAATAACATACAACAACAACAACGCATCCAATTGACAATTGATGCAATTGAGTGAGATCAAAACAAACAAACGGAGGACTGTCATCAACACAAGAAACACGCCACACACACACAAACACACGCACGTCTACGTACAACAAATCAATGCTAACATTTATTTACCGGTGCGGCGCGGCTATACTCGGAGAATGCACACGACGAACGAGATTACAAATGTTTTTAGTGCAGGGTAGCGTATACGTGTTGTACTGAACCGTTATGAACTCATTGGCGGGAGAACAAGAGCGCAGAGCATGAGTAAATACTTTCGCTTGACTTTGTTTATATCGTGGTGGGGTTTTTCTGTTGTTGTTTTTTTTTTTTTGGCTCATGAAATTTGATGCCCTTTAATTGTGAAAATGACCAAATACGGATTAAAAGCCAGCGGCGCACAGCCACACACACACACTCGCTCTCTCAAATACACATGCACACACACGCGCTCGCGTTTTTAGCCGAATAAATTTTTGAAAAAGTTAAGAAGTGAATTCTTTTAGATGGCCAGTCGTGTTGGGGATAAAAATAAATTTTGTATTTTGCTCTTCTTTTCTTTCTTCGCGTTTTCAATCGCAGAAACATTAAATAGTTTGGCAGATATGTACATAAGTTCAAAATTTATTCAGACACTTGTTGTTTGTTAAAGGCCATTTTGTTTTGGTTTTTATGATTATTTTCCTTTTTTTTTCATCGGCCAGACAATGCGAGGAGTTCCGCATGGGTATATGAATATATGTATGGGTTTAATAAAATCCAACGGTACTAAAGGCACGCGCGTTCTTTAGGCGTTGGTGTTTGACATTAGTGTGTCTGTCGGCGGCGGCGGGCAGACGATACGATACGCGTTGACATCCAAAACGCAACTAAAAATCAAGCGCAGAAAAATATCTTTATTGCCAAAGAATCTGAATATCCACCTTAGATGGATGTTGTTGGTTGTTTCATCGTTTTTTCCGTACGACTCTGCCACATTTCACGATCATCGGCATTAGCATGGCAGCATCACTCACGTCAGGCCAAGAGAGAGTGAGAGAGAGGAAGGAATTAACAATAACAACACCAGCAACAAGAACAAGAACAATGTAACGTCATAGTCACACGTATAATGTCGACAGTGCGGTGATATTTTGAAAATGAATGTAAATGTTGAAATGATTTTCCTTTTTAGTTGTTGTTGTTGTAGTCCTATTCATTTCTTTCGCAAATAGGTATGCATTTGTATATTTCGTAAAAGTGTGTCTTTCCATTTACATTTCTAAGAAGAAATATTAACGACTTCTGCATTTTAATTCCTTGGAGTCAAAAGAACTATTATATGAAAAATCTCCACACAATGGGAAGAAATTATGGTCGGAACTTGTAATGTACAATTATAATTTGTACAAATTAATACAAAATGTTTTTTCATAACCCTAGAATACATTAAGTGAGAGCGTGTGAAGAGAACAATTTTGGTAGCGGAGTTTGCAAATTCTCACTAAAAAATGTTTTTAGTAAAATTTATTAGTTAATTGAAAATCAGATGTCTTGTGGCCAATGTGAAAATGTTTCCATAAACGAAATTAACATACAAAGCTAATTTTTAAAAGAACATCGTGATAAAATAAAACTTTAATCGGCTAATCACATGATCGTAAATATGTATGCATTCAAACATTCAAGCATTTTTTGGCTATTTTTATACATTTCTTTTCATTCATAGTAATTGGAACAGTTTTTGTCATTAAGTCGTGCATTTCGCCAAAGAAAAACATATTTTGAATGCCCCAACATATGTATGTATATGTCTTCTAGCGTGTGTGGGTGTTTAATGAAAAAGCATATGCTCTTCTTCTCTTAAAATAGAATAAAAATTGCCTTTGAAAGTCAAATAGGCTTTCAAGTGATTATGCGACTGGATGGAATTTCCTTACATTTTAAAATGCGAAACGTTTCGAAAATATGCCATGAAAAACAAAAACAAGCTTTAAACAACAATGCCAGTCTAGTGGCGGCAAACCCCCACACACACACATCACACCCAAAAAAACAAACAAAGTCACCCAAAAAAACTATTTTGGGACATAACCACAACACTATTCTGGCATTAAAAATAGCAACATAAAATTAAAAAAAAATAAAGAAAAACAAAATATCTTTTTGGCCACTTGTTTGAATTCTCTTGTGTTGCCATTAATATTTCAACATCACAAACACACAACCATCGAGGCGAAACAACCCCCTGCCAAAAAATATTTCAAACTTTTCAATTGTCAAAGTATGAGCAGCAACGTGTTTTCTTTTTTTCCTTTTTCGTTAAATCTGCACAGCTAGTCAACGCCATAACGGAAATGTGAGAGTGGAAGAAAGAGAGAGACAAAGAGGGGGTGTGAGAGAAATACTTGATCACACACAAATATGATAACAGTCATATCTCATATCGGTAGTCATCAACGGAAACAGAAGGATTTTTGTTATCGATAACTAATTTGATTGTGGCTGGTTATATTTTTGGCTAACAATTTTCTATACATTGAATTACTATGGAAGAAAATCCTTTACTTTTAAACACAAAACAAACTTTTTTATGCAGCGTGTGTTTGTCAACATAGCCATTTTGTCTTTTATTTTCTCTTGCCCATATCCATTCAAATCCATAAAGCTATTTCAAGACTATACTAAAAATAGCCAATGTGTTGTTGAGTCGTTGTACTGCATCTCTGCATAGATCCATTTAAATGTGTCTGTAAGTGGGTCAAGTCTTTTAGGGGGGTAATTAAGTATATTTTTAAAGTATTGCGATCTCGTATGGTGTGTGTCGTGTAAAGTTGTGTGTGTGTGATAATGTAAGAAAGAGCGAAAGTGCGGTATTGTTTATTTGAGACATATGTGGACAAAGTGTTGAGAAGAAATTGTTTGAGGAAAATAACGAGAGAAAATTGGAAAGGAAACATTTGTTGCTGTTTTTTTTAATATTTTTTATTTTATGCTTGCCAAACATGTTATTCATGAAAGGGTTCTAATTAGTAATTTTCTCACTTTTTGCAATGCTCTCGAATATAAGACACTTGGAGATAGTCAAATCAAAATTGCAATTTTATGGAATAAAGTTAGTTATTTATTTGTATGAATGAATGCTTTTTATCTGAAAAATAATTAAAATAAAAAAATATTGTCTGAAATTTGCAAACATTTTCACATTGCAAGATTAATTTTCCCAATAAGAGTTTGCAAACTCTCAGTAAGGCAACGGTCAAAATTGCTCTCTTCATTGGTTCTCATTCACTGGACTTTTGGAGTTATCCAGCATTTCTTAATAACTTCCACAAATCATTGGGTTATCGTAAAGATGTTTACATTAGACTTTTGCCGGCTAATCCTCCTTAATCAGGACTAACGAGCATACAATCGAAGTATTGAAAATTGAATTGAAATGTTCTTGCGTATGATTATTATATAAATAAAAATAACGTATACGCCACGGAGTTTTACATTACATTTGCAGTTTGGCTAAAATGTTGAGTTTGAAGGATTGCCATCTAAATTTGACATTTTACTAGTTTTCAGTTGCCTACTTTCTGAAAGAAGCAGTTCTCTCAGAGCGAGTGTAATATTTATCTCTTTTATTATTAAAAAAAAAAAACGGGAAAGCAACATTGGTTTATAAAATTTTTAAATATTTTCAATGAAATGGGTGGAATTGTTTTAATAAAAAATATCTTGATATTAGAAAATATTATACAATTTTTTTCATTATTTTTTTATTCATTACAATAAATTTTAAAAATTCCTCTTTTTGATGTAATTATAAGCTTGTTACAAATTTGTAATAGCTTTTAAGCTGAATATGGCCAAACCTGAATTAACCACTTCATAATATGCAGAATATGTGGCGGATACGCCTGCATTGGTTTCTTCCATAAATGCCGGTGGCTGCTGATGTTGAACAAGTAAGTACCGGGTAATTTATTTTGTGATCATGCAACGACACAAAATAAAATGTTTTTGGATGTGGCCTCCCTCTCTCTCTCTCTTACTCTCACACACACATACTCTTGTTCCCAGCAAATCATGCTCTGTCTCTTTGTTGTCTAGGTTACGTCTCTGGTGTCTGGTTGGTTGATGACAGATGCAAAGGTTCTTGACAGCAACAACAAAACAGTCATGGTAAGGTGAAAATGTAGGTGTTAACGATCATGCACAAACACACTCATCTATTCACATCATTTTTTCCCCGTTTGCATTCATTCACTCATTCGGTCACACAAAGTGTGAATAATCTTGGGACTCAAACAAATATTTAACAAATTTCAAATTTGTTGACTAGATTCTAAATATGGCATTTGGGGGATAATATTAGTTAATAAATCATAGCACACATCGCATAATGATGTAAGTTGGAGTGTTTGTTGTTGTTGTTGCTGTTGGATTTGGTTTTGCTATGGCTATGACTGCTATTCATGACAAATGCACTTGAAAGTGTCATAATTGTGCTGGCGTTTATGTCAGCCATTCAATTTAACTGGGTTTGGTGCGGCTGCTAAAAAAACACCATTCGAAACTGAAAACTACAAAAACTAATCAAGCGGAATGCAAAACTGAAATTGAAATTATTGGAAATATGCAAAAAAAAAAAAAAAAACAAAAAATAAATAACAATCAGGTTTTGTCCATTTTCGGCCGAAAATAATTACTTTTATAGCAACAACAACAGAAACATTAAGAACAGCTTTATTTAGTTAAGCTGTCCACCCTCGACGTGTGTGCAGCAGCAGCAACACCACCAGGCCTCAGACTTTGAGAACGCAGACGCAAACGTTTTTTGGCGAAAATTTATTAATGCAAAAAATAGACAGACAGACCGACAGACAAACTAACTGGAAGAATTACATTAAGTCATCCAACTGCAAGGAGAGGAAGGAAGGTGGCGCAGGGGGCAGCTGGAGGTGGTTACAACTAAAATCGACAACTGTCAAATGGTACTATTTAGTGTGGGAGTAGATGTGTGAGCCACATTCACGTTGTTGTTGTTGCTGTTGCTGGTTTTGTTAAAATGCTGGTCTCAGAACCTTGGGAAATCTATAAAGTATCAAAATCATTTGTGTGCTATAAATTACATGAACTGCCTTAGTCCATATTTGCCACATTGTGTGCACAATAATCCAAAAGTATGTGGTCAGATTGGTTTTTTAGTTTTTTTTATTCGATTCAATCAAGTAATATGCAAAATTTTCAGATTCGGGGAGGTTTTGAATTGCTTAATTAAGAAGTGTGGCAAGCGGATTAGAGAGAGATATTTATTTATATAGAGTGAATACCTTTAAAAGGGTTTCTGTCTATGGGATACATGTAGGAGATCTTCTATCTACTGCAACCAACTTCAGACTACTGTCATTCCTAAGCCACTCGTCCAACAGCTGTTAAAATTATTCCAGTGACATCTCTTTATATTGTTTACAAGCGTACAAAAGCGCTTTGGTGAGAATTTTCCAGAAATAAAAATTATTCGTGATGGAATTCAAGCGTGATAGTGTGATTTCTTTATATTTGGCTGGAAAACCACAAGTGGCTATCGTTAGACCACTCCAGCATTTAAATGTGAATAAATCTTCTGTATCTCGAACTATCACTCGTTAAAGTGTTACTGGTAGAGTAGCCCGACGTCAAGGAATTGGAAGAAAAATAAGAAATGGTTCGAAAAGTAAAGAAGCGACTTGATCGAAACCCGTGTCGCAGTGCCCGAAAAATGGCTTTTGAGCTGAACATATCGCAATGTTCCATTCGCAAATATTGAAAAATAGGCTCGGGCTAAAGCCATTAAAATTCAAAAAGTGCAACAGAAAGAAAATAGACTCAAAAGCAACTCTTCGCTTGGCTGAAAGTGGTGAGCTGCTGAATTTGGTTTTCTCCGATCTCCGATGAGAAAACATTCGTTGTCCAGCAGTTTGTAAACAAACAAAATGATCATGTTTACTTGCCAGTTGAAAATGTGCACCTTCGGTTGGCCACCAGAACTCAAGCGCCGGCCATGGCGATGGTGTGGTGTGGGCCGCCATAACAGCCGGTGGTCGCTCCTCGCTCGTATTAATCGACCGTGGCATCAGAATAAATGCCGAATATTATCGTGAAAATATTCTGAAGGGTGTATTAAAGCCTTGGGCACCCAAACATTTTGGCCGCAGACCTTGGACATTCAAAAAGGATTCAGCACGATCGCACTCAGCACGCGCCACCCAAGAATGGTTACAAAATGAGGTTCCTCGCTTCATTTCCAGCGCTCAATGGCCATCAAAATCTCCGAATACCAATCCGTTGGACTTTTGTGTTTGGAGTATTTTGGAAAGCATGTTTGGTACTAAAAAATACCAAAGTGCCGATAACCTCAAGCAAGCAAAAGCCAAAATACCGCAGAGCAACA